TTTTTTTTATTTTTTTGAAAACATTCTTGGGAAAAAAAAAAAAAAAATATATATATATATATATATATATATATATATGGTATAAAAAATGGTAACCTAAAATAGTAAAATGTAAATTACTGGTTTTATTCAAGTCAAAAATAAATTAAAAGGCTAAATCATGATAGAAATAACTATTTTACAGTGCACAAATATAATATACACTTATATTTAGCATGATATTTAAATTTTTGGAATAATCAAGATTTTTTTATGTTCTTGAAAGGTGTCTCTAAGGCTGCATTCATTTAATCAAAAATACTGTAAAACAGTTAATAATGTAAATTATTACAATCTAAAATAAATGTTTTCTATATGTGTGTATACAGACAGACAGATAGATAGACAGATAGATAGATAGATAGATAGATAGATAGATAGATAGATAGATAGATAGATAGATAGATAGATAGATAGATAGATTAAATATGACAGTTGAATTATCAAGAGAAAAAAAATGAATCAGACATTTTTCATAAACCCAAACTCTTTCTGTGTTTCAGTACGGTAATTCAGGAGGGCCCCTGGTGAACCTGGTATGATTTTTGCTTTTTGTTATGATGTCCTCCTCATACGTAAATAATGAAACCAGCTACAGTCTTATGTTTTAATGGATTAACAGGAGTAACAGAATGCAGCCAGGGTTGATCATGTTTACAGCATGTCTTTATGAGCCTAGAAACATATGTTGGCAGAAAGGCTCTGTGTTGAGTCAGCCGTGATCGTAATCACATGTGTGCATGCATAATGATCAATGGCGGCGGAAACATCCCATTGTGACACGAAGACATCTGTGCATGCAGATGTGCGGTATGTTTGTGTGTGTTCACATTTATACTTGTGTTTTCACTCTTGTGTCTGTTGCTGTAGGATGGTGAAGTGATAGGAATCAACACGCTGAAGGTGACAGCAGGAATATCCTTCGCTATTCCTTCTGACAAGATCCGACAATTCCTGGCCGAGTCTCACGACAGACAGGCTAAAGGTCAGGAGCAAAATGAGCTAAATCTGAAACTCTTACATTGCCGATTAAAAGTTTGGAATAATTACGATTTTTGAGTGTTTTTGAAAGAAATCTCTTATGCTCACCAAGGCTGCATTTATTTGATAAAAAAAACAAATGTAAAAACCACAATAATGTAATATTATTACAATTTAAATGTGATAAATTCCTGTGATGGCAAAGTTGAATTTTCAGCTTTTATTCAGCATGGATGCATTAAAGGGATAATTCACCCCAAAATGAAAATTATGTCATCATTTACTCAACCTAAAGTTGTATGAGTTTCTTTCTTCTGTCATATTCAATGTAAATATATTGAAAAATGTTTTTTATGTTTTTAAAAGAAGTCTCTTCTGCTCACCAAGCCTGCATTGATTTGATCCAAAATACAGAAAAAGCAGTAATATTGTGAAATATTTTTACAATTTAAAATAGCTACTTTCTATTTGAATATCTTTTAAAATGTAATTTATTCCTGTGATTTCAAAGCTGATTTTTTAGCATCATTACTTCAGTCTTCAGTGTCACATGATCCTTCAGAAATCATTCTAACATTCTGATTTGCTGATCAGATAACATTTATTATTATTATTATTATTATTATTATTATGTTGAAAACAGCTGAGTATATTTTTTTCAGGTTTCTTTGATGAATATAAAATTCAGAAGAACAGCATTTATCTGAAATAGAAATCCTTTGTAACATTATAAGTCTTCATCATCACTTTTGATCAATTTAAAGCATCCTTGCTAAATAAAAGTATTAATTTCTATAAGTATTAGTTTCTCACTGAACAATCAAGATTAAAATTAGCTTAATAACATCACCTTCTAACACTACCCAATACTGTTTTGTAATGATAATCCAATTATGTGAAGCCAATAAAAGCAGTTAGAACAATTAGGCCAGTTTTAAGTTAAAATTAGGTCAGTTTTAACTGCTTCCTGTTTTGTTTGCTAGTGGCGGTCTGAAGGAGAGCGACGTCATAATCAGCATTAACGGTCAGAGGATTACGTCAGCCAGTGACGTCAGCACGGCCATCAAGAAAGACGACAGTCTGAGAGCAGTGGTACGACGTGGCAATGAAGACGTCATCCTCACAATCATTCCTGAGGAGATTGACCCTTGACCTCCCTCATGCTCACCCATGAGCTGGTTCTCAGACTTTTCCCGAGTGTGTCCGGAGCCACACTCATTCTAGAAATCATAGTGAACACTTTCCAGTCCAACCATCATCCAACCTGAATATCGTTCTCAGCTTAGAACAGGAAATGTCCTTTTTCAATTTTCCCCATATCTCCCTTGTCTATTTTCTGCTTATTCATTAATAAACCATGTTAGAATGAGCCCTTTGCAAATAAATATGCTAATTTAGTGCTGGCTAGTTCACTATAACACTCCGAAATGTATATAATTTCTCTGTTCCAAAACCTAGTAAGCAGCCTATAGGCAGGATTTTGTGATGAGCAGAATGATTCCATTCAAGATGATGAACGAAGAAGGTAAATGTTGATTATAATCTTATATTTTATTCATTACTGAAAAGTATCTACTAAAATAATTCAGTGTAATTAAAAATAATTGTTTTACCCAATTTTATGTGTGCAATTTATTTTTATGAAAATTACGAAAATTAACCATGGTTTTATTATATTATAATTTTTTTTTTGTTTCATTTAATTAAAAAAAAGTATTTTCTTTTTTTGGTGGATTGATTGCCATTTGTATAACCATAGTTTTACTACAAATACCATGGTTAAACTATGGTTAGTGTAGCAAAACCATGGTTAATTTGTGGTTTAACTTCAATAACCGTGATTTTTTGGGTTTATTTAAAACTATAGTTAATTTTTCATAGCACATTTATGCTGTGTAGATGTCTTTTTGATGTGCACTTTTCATCTAGTTTCAACTGCAGTACGTCTGTCTCTAAAATGTTTCCTGTCAGAGGTTAAAAAAAGACGTAGAAAATGTCTTTAAGATGTTTATGGTTTAGAATGTATGAAAACAGATGTCTTGGAGATATATGTGTGCTAGGGTGACCATACGTGCCATTTTCCCAGGACGCGTCCTGGCCAAGATTTCTCTTTTACATAAAATATCTAGGTTTTGGCTTTGTTTGCGTGTGCAGACCGATCGGTGTATGACATCAAAATACCATACAGACAGTTCCTTACGCTTTCAAAATGCTCTCGAGGTATTTTGATGTCACACCGATCGGTCTGCACACGCAAACAAAGCCAAAACCTAGATATTTTAGGCAATATAGAAATCCTGGCCAGGACGCGTCCTGTGAAAATGGCACGTATGGTCACCCTAATGTGTGTTATCTGGGTAGAGTATTATGGTGTTAACTTAGCAACATGCTAACGGCTAACTACTGAAATCAGTGAGTCTCCTGTGAGTTAGATTGCGTGCAGAGTTGCTGTCTATGTGTGTTCCAAATCACTCACATATGAGGTTACATGGCGGGCGGTTCACTAGGTTTTGGAACAGACCAGATCAGCAAGGTATCAAAATTTTGTCTGTATTCAGCTTTCTTCATTTTTTGTATATTTACACTCAGATTTCAGACTTGACATTATTTGAAAAAGAATTGTGGGCCATTAGAGGATGACTGTTATCTTGGCATACCTTCTCTTCCTTAAATGTTTGTGTGTCTGTGTTTGTCAGACGGCAATTTCAGAAACGAAATTAAAGAAGGTTAACGTTTTTAAACCGTTTCAGTGTCATACTGTTTGACTTCACAAACATCAAGAACTTTTTAAGGTCGATTAGAGGGATGCAATTCTAGATTTAACCAGCTCCTTGGCAAGAAACAATCTAGCAGGGAATATTGAGGAAGTGAGTGCCCAGAACTGCTCTATTAACTATTCTTGATAGTTTATTAGAAGTTTAAATAGGGGTCCTGCTGCGTAGCTTTGTCTGATCCAATCTTAACCAGTTTGTCATGCCAGTAATGAAATTAATTTTAATATTGTCATGCTTGGTTTCATATTAAGATAACATGTTTTTTTCATAGCATTAAAGTGTCCCTATTCTGGGTAAAGAAAGTTCATATTTTGGTTTTGGCAGTCCCCAACAACAGGTTGACATGCATGCAAGGTCAAAAAACGCTTTCATTGTCTTATAATATGCATTTGTTTTTACCTTATGCCGAGTTTACACTGCACGATTTTTCACTCGCCGACAGGTTTTGCGAAATCGCCAACAAATGCCCGAAATCGGAGGCAAATCGGTGCTCGTTCACGCGAGTGACAATCACGCTGTGTGAAATTAATTCTGACTGAAAAACACATCGGCGATGACCTGCAGTCAATGAGGGACCAAGATACTGGGCAGTGGGAAGTTCGGGAAGGAGTTACATGAAACGTAGTTTGCGGACCAGTGTTGCCAAATCCGCGATTGTCGCCGGTTGTTTTTTATGTCAGCAGGTTGAAACAACCCCAATAACGTGATATTTAGGCCCTGGAATGTGAATTGTACTAGGAGAACCCCGCCAAAAAAAATGTGTATTTTACCCCCGAACGTGACTTTTACTGGGGGGACCCCCTCGAAAGCAATTGGGCTATTTTCAGGCTAGTTTTGAGTAGTAATTGGGCGGGTTTTGTAGCGAAAACCTGGCAACCCTGCACTAGACAGAGCTGTCAGTGATTCTTCCTATTGTAAAGTCATGCAGTGTGTAACCTCCTGTCGTCGTTCCATCGTGCAGTGTGAACACAGCAACAACTGAATGCTACCCCAGATAGTCGTTCAGTGTGAAACCAACAGTGATGCGACGTCTTTGAAAATCGTGCAGTGTGAACTCGGCATTACTTGCTCAACGACTCCCAAACGATTCGCTCAACGATTAATTTTTCCAAACCCCTCCTTTGCGTGACGCTAATCTGCGTGATTGGTCCGATTGGTCTCATTTTTATTTCATCATGCCTGTAATGCCTGATAAGACATGCTTTTTTTACCGCTCTAAAAGCGGCACCTAGTGGCAAAGAATTAATTAGCATTTTCATTCAGACCAACGAAAAGTCCAACAAGTGGGCGGGCAATATGCTAATGTTTCATGTTGACGTCAACATGAAACGGCTTGGGATTCGTTTTAAAAACTACTAGTTTCAATGATTCAGAGTCAACTCTTTCTTTTGAGAGACTATAACGTTATACAAGGTGTACTTTCAGATTTGAAATTTTGCAGGATGTTTTCATTCACTTCGAGCTGTATTAGACACTGCATGAAAGGTAATTTTCAAAAATCCATAATAGGGGCACTTTAATGATTCGTAATGTTTCACACATTATGTATCAGACCTATTATTCTTCAGTCTGCCTCACCTCACAAGCCTGAAACAGTGTGGACAGCGAGGGACACATAATAAACTCTCACTCAATTTGATTATTATTGCTCTTTAAGAGCTTTATTCAAATTCATGCCAAATCACTGAGCTCAGCGCTGGATTTCTTCTAGTACATACTGTATGTACAACACTTTCAGGATCAGTTGTGATATGCTGCCCTCATTTGTTGATTTACTGGAGGCACAATGTGATGTGTCTACAAGCAGGGACACTAAAGAGTCCAGGCATTATGAAAAAATGTACAAAAGTTTTACTCAATATTGTGATAATCTGCAAATTATACTCTCTAAAACAAATTGTACTCAGTATGTCTTTTGGCACACAAGTTGCACAAGCAGAGTCTAATCCACTGCATTGAATTCATAAGGTAAAATAGGGGAAGTTTTTCTTTTTCACTTTGCTGGATGACTTCAGGCTCTGGACTTGAGTAACAGGGCGGGTTTGCATTCATGTCCCCACATATTAGCTTCAGTTGCTCTTGGAGAACACTGACTGAATCTTGGGTCGATCTCAGGTCAGAGATTAAATAAAACCTCAAAAATGAGATGGAGACAGAATTAGGTCATTTATTTTAAACTCTAAGTCATATTTTACTGGCATTATGAAACATATTTGCTGTAAGTGCATTTGTCTGTGGGGACTATAATGTCAAATGTTTGACTGTTAAATAATTCTCAGAATTATTATGTCAAACATCTTAAAAACTCATTTGAAACATTACAGTCTCTCTTTTAATGAATATGTCTGATTCATATTTCATATTTTGGATGGTAATTATTTCTATCCTTTCTATCAGTCCAGCACGTTTTCTTGCAAACAAACAAACAAACAAAACTCTAATACAGCAATGACAATTATTGTAATTAAAATCAGCAAAAATGAAATCAAATAAATTAAATTTATACAGCAATACTACTATGATGTACCCTACAATTATTATTTTTTTCCATTTAACGTTTGTCACGTTTTTTTCAGTTATATGAATGACATTTTATTTGATTTTAGAAACAAGACATGAGAAAGATCAAATTTGGGTTCATCGAATTTAATCTTCTATTAGATTTTCAAAGTTTTTTAAATGACATGTCTGCCTAAAAATTTCTTCCTTTTGCAAGAAAAAAAAGCATCATACTATAAAGGATAACATGGAGTCAGTAAAATAAAATAATAACATTTTATGTTTTCCTTTAGACAGTGTTCAGAAAGTAAAATTAAAAAATAGTCTTAAGTTTGACGTTCCTATTTTGTAACATCTTTTTTTCCTCCTGCTCTAATGGACATAACTGTCCCCAACAATATTCATGAAAACTGGATTTTTATTTATACACATATATGTGGCAGGAAACAATAACATTCTTGATGAACTAGAGGTTTGTCACTGAATTAACACAAACACCTAGACACTGTGATTCATCAGTGATCGTTTATAAGAAGCTTCAGTTTAGATACTGAAGTGTTTAAATCAAGGCAGCAACACAAATATCATATTACAATTTTATTTTTATTTTTGCAATTTTATGGATTTATTTATGCACAGGTGGGTGCACTCAAACTATAGGGATGATGTATATTGTAGGCCACAAGCTCAATACATTTTTAAGTTTTATTCTACCACATAAAATACTTCAGTCAAACCCCCTTGTGTGTGTGTGTGTGTGTTTTAAAGCATTCCTTGTCTTGAAAAAAGCAGTTACTAACAAGTGGCTTGGCTAAATGGGACTAGATGTTGTCAGCGATGATAGACTTCATCACACCAAACAGGAAAACTCATCTACTCACTAGTCCACTTTCACAACCTCATGGATTAATAATTTACAGTAAGTCTGTGATGGGGTTAGAAAATAAATAGGGTAAAGTTTCATGTAAAGATGACTTTTAGGCTGTTTACTTGCGTTCAGTCCATAAGCGCTTACATGAATTGTGTTAGCAACATGACTTTGTTGATTCAGTTGGGCCGGTTTGACTCTGGTCCATGGGGATACTGGTGAGAGTGTCTGCACAAAACAGCTGCTATTCATCATCGGTACCACCTCAAATGCTGACCCACTTCTCTGTGGTTACAAAACCCCTTCTGAAGTGGACGTCTCTCTCTCGGTCATAAGACAACAACAGCTCACTGTTTGAACAAATCTACTCAATGAACATCACTGTGGTGTAGACAGGAGACAAGCATGACGATCTGAGTAGAGTCTCACATGACAAGGTCAAAATGACAACATGGTCTCGGTGGAAAGTTCCTCAAAGGGGTCAAAACTGCTAATTTGTAGTGCTTTGGGTTAATTTTCTCACTGATTCATACGGAGTTTGTTCATTCAGCTGTGTTTTCTTAGCTGTTCCTGAGTGAGGCAGCTCTCCTTCATGGTTGATGGGCGACTACCAAAAATAGCACAAGTTCATGTTCATAGGATGCATGAGAGAGTTGTAGAAAAGGTAGACTTGGTAATCCGCAATGCAGGCTTTGAGACAACTAAAAGTTAATGAACTACTGAGAAAAGATGAGGTGAATGAGAGATGTCAGAAGAGCCATATGAGGGAAAGTAGAGGTTTATAGACCTGTCGCATTGGAGTTTTCGGGATTATATGAATTTCCATTTAAGTAATGCAAAACATGTTTGTAGTAACACATACAATCAAAGCCTGTATGAGGCAAGTGTACTTGAGGGTTTAGAAGCAAAAATATATAGCTTGTATTTTTGTCAAAGGGCTCATTTTAATTATTCTGTACAAAAAAAATACAGTTTGAGCTGTAACATGGTAAAAATAATAAAAAAATCATTAAATGGTGGGAACTCCAAAAGCCTATGCACGGTTGTTATTCGTTGATTTTAGTTCGGCTTTTGATACATTTAAACCACTGTTTGATTAAAAATCTGGGGCAGTTGGGTGTAAATCCCTTTTTTTATCAAATGGTATTATTTGTTTTTACCTAATCGAAGGCAGCAGGTCAAGGTTAACCACAGTATATCAGAGGTTAGCAGGTGTTCCACAAGGCTGTGTTTGTTCCCCGATTCATTTTACATTGTATACAAATGAATGCACAATGATTCAATGCACGATGAATGTCATGATTCCAGTAATCTCATAATAAAATACTCAGATGATACAGCTCTGCTAAGCCTTTTGTATAATGATTCTAACCCTCAGTATATCATTCAGAGGTAGAAGGGTTTGTGAAGTGCTGTGACCTAAATCATCTTATTATAAATATAAAAAAAAAAATGAGGAAATGTTTTTTGACCAAAAGTCAATTGGGAAGCACTCACCTGTATTTACTCATAAGGAACCCATTAAACAGGTGTGCTAGTATAAATACCTGGGTGTTTATATGGATAATCTACTTACCTGGGGACCCCATGTAGATAGTATATGTTCTCTTGTGCAGCAGAGGTTACAATTTCTACAAAGACTGAGAGTTTATGGGGTTCAGCAGAAAGTAATGTATTTATTTTACCAAGCTGTAATTGGAAGTATAATATACTATGGTTATACTGTGTGGTTTGGTAACATCACAGTCCAATCTAAAGCCAAACTTGCATGTCTGGTAAAGATGGCTATGGGAATTATAGGGAAAAGGGAATATTAAACCTTGGAATCATCTTATGAGCAGTCGGTTCTTAAGGAAATTATTACAGTTTTTCTGAATTGCTAAAACACATTTCTTGAAACCATCACTCATTTTCTCAAAACCTTAAACACAAATCCAAATACTCAAACTAAATTCACGAAACCTCTGACTCTTCCATCAAACTCAAACAATCACTGCAAAACCATTTCACCTGTACTCAAAATCAACCGGTGCTCTCAGATCACACACACTAAATAAAATAAAAAATACACAATCAAAATCAATAAAATAAACACTAGAGCATTCATCAGACACTACAGAGAAAAATGGAGAACACTGCATCCAGAACATTACAGAAAAAAGTATATTGTATTGAGTAAACAATTTAGCAATTCTGTAAAAAAGTATAGTAATTGCAACTGAGTAAGGTGAATATATTGTATAGGCCTACTGTATGTACTGCAAGAATAGTATTGTGCTGAATATTGAATAGTACTGAATGTTTGTATATATTCAGCACATGGATACCGCAAAAAATACTGCAGTCCAACTGCAAAGGCCAAAAGGGTCAAATAAAACTCTAAATGAATAACATACTGTAAGTTGTGCAATTGTAAAATCAGGGTCAAGGAGAGATTCATTCTGGCTCAACAATTTTGAATCGTTGTGTGAAAACGATGACAACTGTGCTTTAGTTGTGTTTAACTTTTGCCGCTTGTGTTTAGCATTTTGCAGCACAAATACATCACAGTGTGACAAGTGTTTAAGGGAATGAGAATGTGTTTAGAGTTTTGCAAAAAGACTGCATGAGATTTGCAAATAGAGCCTAACTGCCTGAACGTGTTTACGGTTTAGCAGAAAGAGTGCTTTATTCGACAAATTGGTTTAAGCTAGTGAGAATTTGGTTCAGAGATCGGGGTTTAGTGTTTTAGCAATTCAGAAAAACTGTAAGATATTATCTGATCCCTCACATAGCTTATATTCCGAATATGAGTTGCTGCCTTCTGGCAGACGGTACAGGCTGCCTGTGTGCAGATACAATCGTATTAAGAAATCTTCTGTACCTATGTCGATTAGACATTTTAACATGTCATTTTACATGTAAACTTTGTCGTTTTTTTTATTTTTATTGTGGTTTGGAATGCTGGTTCGTATATGTGGGTTTTTTATTATGTAATGTAATGCCGATCAGTGTGTGTATACTGTCCCATTGGGGACATTGAAGTGTATTGAACTGAATTGAATTCCGTTCGTCTATTTATACTAAGCCCTAAAAGTATGTATTCTTTTTGTGAAGAAAAAGTAGATACTTTGGAGTGTGTAACAGAAGAGTAAGCAAGCTTTAGGACATACTACAAGACCATGAAGTTGCGCTGTTGCATAGTTACATGCACGCTGTCATCATAAACCGGCCAGTCAATCATCCTGTAACCGTTAACATCCTTATATACACACTCCACATTCTGTTTATTTAAAATTACACAAATGATTCTTTCTACTGTATTGGAGAGAATCTTGTTTGAATATTGTGCAAAAGTTACCATGTTTTCCGGCATCAATCAGTCATGACAAGAGCTAAAATCCTGAGTAAATTGTATTGTCACTCAGCCAAGAATAGAAAGCCACTTTATCAGAGAATTATCATGTTAAAACATATAGGGCGAGGAGAGTATTTAAATAAATCATGCAACGTGATGTACTAAGATTTGATAGGACAAAAACATAAGTTCATTGGATACATAATATTATTCTTTAGTATAAACTTTATTTTAATATCGTTTTCTTTTGTTTTTGTCCTTAGTTCTCCTTTATGAAGAGTATAAACATATGAACATCATGTACACAAAGGCAATTAACAGTGACAAATACTTGACACTGTCAGTACAACCGTTGTTTGTAGTATCTTTTAGATAAAATAATTTATTACATATATGCTGCATCCGAAAACTTAGGCAGCTGACTTGCTTGCTGTATGAGGAAATGACTTTGCAGGCAGCGTTTTTGCACGAAGGCACCTCATGATTTCGGACAGGCTTCTGAGGCAGCGTAACGGTTTAATGATCTACAACAAAATAGAACGAGTTTTTGTGATAACTAAACGAATATTTAATTACTATAATACTGAATGATCTCTAGAAATAACATCAAAAGTGCAAAAAGTTAGCCAGAAATATACATTTACACACAAACGGTCCACCAAACGCAACTTTCAGACGCCATCTTTATTTTTTAGCTCAACCGTCACGGAATGGAACGCACAGGATTGTGGGATATCAAAGGCAGCGAAGGATACATCTATGCTGCTTTCAAAATTCGCTCAGAAGGAGGTACCTCCGGAGACAGGAAGTAAAGCAGAATTTGAATTCGGACGTGCCTTGCTGCATTCCTGCCTCGGAATGCTGCCACCGAAGGCAGCATTTTAGAGTTTTCGGATGCAGCCATAGTATCAACAGTGTTATTAAGAACAGTTCCACAAGTAGTTGTGATTTGTGAAGGTCATCTGATACTGTCTGTGGACTCAAGTTAGTGAACTGACTTGTCAAGCTGTTAATTACCACATAAACCATGTCAGGACAGTCTCTAGCGATGGGCACATGAAGACCAGGGATTGCTGTTAAACCGTAAACCATTTCCACACAAAGCAGTTGACTGCAGGCAAAACAAACATGTTAGAACCATTTTTTGTTATAAAGGGATAGTTGACATGAATTAAATGTACCTATACAGAATAATACAGTTGTCATTGAAGTAAAAGCTCAGTGCGGAGATCTTGCTAAAAGTGTTCAGCTTAGTCCTGTGTGTTGGTGGATGTTGTTTACTGGTGCTGCTTATGAGAGAGCGCCTGCTGAAGTGTGATCTCCAGTCTCTGCTGAAGAGCATCCAGACACAAGTCCAGATGTTCCTTTAATCTTCTCTCCACCTCATCCATTCGCTTCTCTACACCCGTCTCCAGAATCTTCTCAAACCCTCCACAGCATATATGACCCTCCCTGTAATACAAAAAATAATAATAATAAATTATATATATACTATATATATATGATGAGTGGACAAACTAAAGGACACATTAAATACATTGGAATAAAATATTAGGAATGATCAAACTATTCTGCTTTGTGAAACTGATTCAGTAACACTTGAAATGCCTTTTTTGTGAACTGTATATTGCATTATTCTAAAAGTTTTGATGATATTTAGTGTTCACTGTTCATCAACCCCTCTTAAATATGATTAGGAGCAAATATAAGGGGAATGTTTGAGAGTGGACAGATCATGAAGAAGTGTATTCACACAGTATACTGAACCTAGTACTGGAATATGGTTTTTTTTTTTTGGTAACACTTTACTTGAAGGGGTGTGCATAAGACTGACATGGCACCTTCATAATTATGACATGACACATGTCATGAATATGAAGGAGGTTTTATGCATGTTTATGACAACTGTCATTAAGTGTCATTTGCTCAGTTATGTCATTCTTAATGCAAATATGACATCATTTGACCTAACCCTACCCTTACCTCTAACCATAGCCCATAACAAAGACATCTCAAACAATGTCATCTATGTCATGATTATGTAGGTGTCATGTCATGATTATGTAGGTGTCATGTCATGATTATGTAGGTGTCATGTCATGATTATGTAGGTGTCATGTCATGATTATGTAGGTGTCATGTCATGATTATGTAGGTGTCATGTCATGATTATGTAGGTGTCATGTCAGTCTTATACACACCCCTTCAAGTAAAGTGTAACCATTTTGTTCACTTTAGCATTTACTTCACTACATTCCAAAGCATAATATCATACTTTTTACTGCATGACATTTCATAAAAACATCGTTCCTTGTAATTTCAAGGAATAATTATAGATATTTTTGAAGAAACTCAACTCCTGCTCTGAGATGCAATGGCAATGTCTGATTTCCAGCCCATTCTTTTTGATGAATCTGTTGTTGTATCGGTTCACAGAGCGTCTAAATGATTCATTTGTGAATTGGACTAATCTGATTGCAGCTGTTCTCAAGTCAAGAACTGACTCATTCAATGATTCAGAGCAAATCTCCAGTTATCAAATCACTGAATCGTTCATGTCTAACTCAAACTGTGCAAAGAACCAACAAATCCTCAGAGTGTGAGTGTGTCTGTCTGATTTATGGCACAAAAAAGTCACTAATGCAGAATTTTAGTTTATTGATTATGGAATTGAATATTTCAGTCATGACTGTTAGTTGCCAAAATTTGCTGTAAAAGGACGAGCTGTTTAAGCCCACTGAAATGATTTGTGTACTTTTACTCAGGTACTTGATTTATGTACTTCTGTTTAGAATTCAAGTGTTGCAATGATCCCAGTAGGGCTGGGCGATATAGCTAAAAAATATATCAACAATATAATGTTGTAAATTTAACCACTGTATTTTTAAATTAACCCAATTTATTGAGACAAACAACACATATTTTTTTGTTTTAACAGTCAAACACAATAAAAATTAAACATATCTAATGTTTTATATGCCGATTAAATATGTCTTAACGGGGTGGTTGACTGGGTTTTTTCTAGGCTTGATTGTGTTTATGGGGTGCAATCTAACATGTGTTAATGCTTCGTTTGTTAAAAAAATGCATTATTTTTCATATAATGTACCTTTATTCCACACCGCTCTGTCCCTTCTCCTCTGAACACACTGATCATTTCCTGCTTTTATGAAGCCCCTCCCTCAGAAATACACGATGGCCTCTGATTGATTAGGTGGCCCAGTGTGTTGTGATTGGCTAAACCGCCTCTAGCGCGAGTCTAAACGCCCCGCCCCTCAGCTCAGCGGCATGTGCTCAGGTTGTATTGTAAACAATGACATTGTCTATATTTCTTATCAATTTGAGCCCGATTGAGACGCAGAGGATATTAGTGAAGAGGACAGAACCTGTGCAAGCACTGCTTTTAATGGTAGGCCTAAGATTTTGAGAAGGGTCTGGCTGCAGCCTTTAGATACGCTGTTATTTGTAAATGCTACACTTGCACTCTCAGACGTGCATTCTCAGGCTTGCATTCTCAGACACTTGCGCTTCCGCTAGCGACGTCACTTGCAGTCTTTAATTTTTTTTATTTTGTTCTATTTATTGATTACTTTTTGTTTGAATCTCTCAACATTTTACAACAGTAGCCAGGTGGTGAAGACAAGAAAAAAGAAACTAAATTACGAAGTCACTTGCAATCGCCACTTGCACTCTCCGCTACCTGCGACGTCACTTGCAATCGACACAAATCGTGCGTGTTGCCAATGGAGACAAGACGCTGTGATGGTGATTAAACGATTAAAACTAATTTTATACTATAACATACTCTAACTCAAACTGTGCAAAGAACCAACAAATCCTCAGAGTGTGAGTGTGTCTGTCTGATTTATGGCACAAAAAAGTCACTAATGCAGAATTTTAGTTTATTGATTATGGAATTGAATATTTCAGTCATGACTGTTAGTTGCCAAAATTTGCTGTAAAAGGACGAGCTGTTTAAGCCCACTGAAATGATTTGTGTACTTTTACTCAGGTACTTGATTTATGTACTTCTGTTTAGAATTCAAGTGTTGCAATGATCCCAGTAGGGCTGGGCGATATAGCTAAAAAATATATCAACAATATAATGTTGTAAATTTAACCACTGTATTTTTAAATTAACCCAATTTATTGAGACAAACAACACATATTTTTTTGTTTTAACAGTCAAACACAATAAAAATTAAACATATCTAATGTTTTATATGCCGATTAAATATGTCTTAACGGGGTGGTTGACTGGGTTTTTTCTAGGCTTGATTGTGTTTATGGGGTGCAATCTAACATGTGTTAATGCTTCGTTTGTTAAAAAAATGCATTATTTTTCATATAATGTACCTTTATTCCACACCGCTCTGTCCCTTCTCCTCTGAACACACTGATCATTTCCTGCTTTTATGAAGCCCCTCCCTCAGAAATACACGATGGCCTCTGATTGATTAGGTGGCCCAGTGTGTTGTGATTGGCTAAACCGCCTCTAGCGCGAGTCTAAACGCCCCGCCCCTCAGCTCAGCGGCATGTGCTCAGGTTGTATTGTAAACAATGACATTGTCTATATTTCTTATCAATTTGAGCCCGATTGAGACGCAGAGGATATTAGTGAAGAGGACAGAACCTGTGCAAGCACTGCTTTTAATGGTAGGCCTAAGATTTTGAGAAGGGTCTGGCTGCAGCCTCGCACTTGCACTCTCAGACGTGCATTCTCAGGCTTGCATTCTCAGACACTTGCGCTTCCGCTAGCGACGTCACTTGCAGTCTTTAATTTTTTTTATTTTGTTCTATTTATTGATTACTTTTTGTTTGAATCTCTCAACATTTTACAACAGTAGCCAGGTGGTGAAGACAAGAAAAAAGAAACTAAATTACGAAGTCACTTGCAATCGCCACTTGCACTCTCCGCTACCTGCGACGTCACTTGCAATCGACACAAATCGTGCGTGTTGCCAATGGAGACAAGACGCTGTGATGGTGATTAAACGATTAAAACTAATTTTATACTATAACATACAGGGTCCTGCAAGAAAAAGACAAGACCCGCAAATCCGTCACCACAGAACAGCAGAATATGAACGCAATGCACAAAGTCTCTCGTTAAGAGTTTTCCTCCTGTTGAAAAACAAACACTTAACATGAGTAACTTTTGACTTGTCTCCCGAGGCCACAGGAGGGCGCCATTCACTCTGATTGTATTTAACATAAGAGACACAGTGAAAAGGAATAAACCTCCACAAATTCGCGACGTGTTTTCTAAAAGTTTAAACTGTTTTAACTTTGCATGGCTACATCTCGTGTGAGACGTGAGTGCTCGTATTTGTCCGTCTAAAAAATCAGCCGAATATGCATAATGCAGCAACTCCGTGTCTCGTGGGCTAGACTAACAAAACATGCAAATGCAACGTCACTTAAATCGTTATCACCGCATCTCGTGCTCCACTGATGACACTCCCTGACGCACTCCTAACATTTGATTGTACTATTTTTGCATTTAAATGCAAGTGTTTATTTTAAATTCGACTAATATTCATTTTTTTATTCACAATCCCCTCATCACAGGCAGCACTCAATTCAGCATGTGTTCATGTTTGTGTGTGCTGTCTGCGTCACTCAGAGTACGTGCCTATATCGAACATTTTTTATATCGTTATCGAAGAAGGTGTACCGTCGATAAATATCGATACCGTTTTATCGCCCAGGCCTAGATCCCAGTCTCATTTAGTTGTTAAATAAAACATTTTGGTTAACTCGCCCAACCCTAACTTGCATGGTTGTTTAGTTACTTTGAATAAATACTAATTAATGTGGCTTAACGAATAAACTTTTATCTTAACTAGTTACTACTAAAGAAACACTCACACGTTCATGTATTTCCAAAACTGCATGACTTTCTCCTGTTTGAAGGTTCAAGTTTGAATTGTCCAGAATGATGAAATCTTTTGGTCCGTTCATCATATAAATCTATCATACAGCTTCATAAACTTGGAATATAGTGCACAAGTCATGGATTTTCACGGTATAAAACAGAGCACTCTGTATTCTGTTAGACAACTTCTTTTGTGTTCCCCGGAAGAAATAAACTAATACAGTCTCAAAAAGTCTTTAGGGAATATTTAAATTTTGCATGTAACTAATGCTTTATCCTCATGCGTTTATCAGTATTATTATTCATATTCATAATATTCACACTTTCATCAAGATGAGCTGGTTACCATAACCAAACTTTTGAGTGGCTTCAACCACCGTGGTAACTGAACATCTGTTTACTGAACACCGCACATGACTCACACTTACCGTTCTCCATTCTTCTTCCTCTCTGGAGATGTGGCTTCCTCCAGTCGGAGCTGCGTGACCTGACTGCATATGCTCTTCAGCATTGGAAGCAGGTCTGGGTTGATCGTGCCTGTGTCAGTGCTCAGCAGGGCAGACATGGCACCGGGTATCTGGTTATGATTGCTGCTAGACAGAAGCTGCCCGAGGCCAGATGGTGGATTTGGGCCCGACTCCACTCCAGCAGAACTGGAAGCCCCACCTCCTCTTGACAGACAGCTCAAAGCTCCTCCTCCCTTGAGCAGAGGAATTAATCCATTGAGCACGTCTGATTTATTCTGGATACAACACACACAAAGAATGATTGTTCAGTTGTGATGAAGCTTTGTGCTGGCTATTTTTTCTTTTCTTTTTCAAAGAAACAACTGTCCAAAAAACTTGCTTTAAAAACAGAAATAAGTGAGAAAATGAAAATAAAATATTATGCTGTTAAAATACTAAAACTGTAGGTTATAACAGAAAATATGTGAATCATAATTAATTTTACATATCAAATAAAATATAATACTTTACTTTATTATACTTATATAACAATATTGATCAAAGGTTTGGAATAAGACTTTTAATATTTTTGAAAGGAATGCTCACAAAGGCTGCATTTAATTGATACAGTAAAAACAGTAATAAATAGGAATTTTAAGATTGTATTATATTTTTTTAAAAAATATTTATTTCTATTATGGCAAAACTGAATTTTCTCCAGGCATTACTCCAGTCTTCAGTGTCTAATATATGCTGATTTGGTGCTCAAAAAAACATTTCTTAATATATTATCAATGTTGAACAGTTTTTGCTGCTTAATATTTTTGAGGAAACCGTGATACGCTACCATTTAAAAGTTTGGGGGTAAGTAGATTAATAAAAAATAAATAAATTATTAATTCATACTTTTATTAAGCAAGGATTCTATATATAAAATATACTGTACATAATCAAATAAATGCTGAACTTTCTATTCATAAAAAAAAAAAAAATTTTATCATGGTTTCCACAACACTATAAAGCAGTAAAAACTGTTTTGTCTGCTGAAAATTCAGCTTTGCCATCAAAAGAATAAACTACATTTTACAACATATTAAAACATTGTAATAGTGATTTTAGCAAATGGCTGCAATATAACAAAGAGTGAAAAATTTAAGGGGGTCTTTCCGTACCCACTGTAGACATCAAAACGTTGAAGAGCAAGGACAAGAGCTAGTGTAAGTAAGTGTAAAAACTAGAGCCCGACCGATATATACTGTTTTGCCGATATTATCGGCCAATATGAGCCTGTCTCCGATATATTGGTATCGGCGAATATGCCGCCGATATGAATTTTTTTTTTACAGAACATATAACGCAGATAAAATGCTTGAAATGGTGTAATTACTTAGTTTTTCCAGCAGAGCGTGCTCCATTGTTTGCTACTGGCACCCTGGATGAAACGCTTCAAAGCTTAAGTTTGAACTTTGAATGGCCATATCTCCGTAACGGCACAGCGATTTCACACCAAATTCAGGGGATCTCTTCAGCTCGAGGAACCCTCTCGAACGCGAATCGAGTGTACGTCTAGAGGCCCGCTTTCGAATGAGACCACCGCCTCGTCGATAGCCCCCAGGGTTCGGGAGTTAGGGGTGGTTAAATTCGCGGTCCGGTGCCGACCGATCAAGCGATCCTGGGGGTCTACCGACGCGCGGAGGGTGGCGTTCGAAAGGGCTCCTCGAGCTGAAGGCCGGCATGTTCGCAAGATAGTGACACCAGTCAACACTTTCACTTCAGTAAATTCCTGGCATAGCCTACAACGTGAATGATTTTCATGCGGCTCAATATGAACCTCCGAGCGCCCTCTGGAGGAATAATCAGTTTGTGTCTTTGTGAATAATACCATCAGGTGCAACATTAAAAAAATAATAATAATAAATACAATACAGTACCTTTTCTCACTAGACCTAATTAGGCCAAGGTCATTTTAATTAATTATTTTAGAGGCTTGTGTCAAGATAGGCCTAATCTTCAGACTGATTTCAACTTTTTGAGCAACTTTAATGATTAAAAAAAATCTCATTTGATTTCGTATTCCCCCAGACATTTTTTACAGAATAACTTTGTTGTGTTGTCTCATGATGTACTGGAGAAAGGGAAAGCACACACAGAAACACTGGTGAGATTTATTATTTTTTTTCCCTGATTCGTTAGTTATAAAATGTAAAAGAGGTACTGTCCACCACATACTTTACATGTTTTGGAATGAGGAAATGGTATGTTAAATACTTTATATTCAGTGGACAATGATCTTCTAGCCTTAAAAACAGGTAGTCATGTGGTATTTTTATGAAAATCATTAACCAACACATTAACCTTGACATATTTTTGGAAAACAAGCTGTACTAATGCTGGTGGTTTTGTTTAGGAAAACTGTCACTATCAAGGACATGTGGAGGGTTATGAAGACTCTCTCGTAGCTCTCAGCACCTGTGAAGGTCTCAGGTAAGTATGATACTTACACTTTCAGTGCCTAAAATGCAGTCTTTCTTGTTAGTTGGGTGCCATGTCATTTTTTAACTGAATTAATGAAAGTTATTACAGCAAGGCAACTGTATTAAAATTTATCTTCTTGCTTTTCTTCTCCACAATTTTCACATTTGCAAATTAAATGCAAATACCTGCATATTAGGAAGTATTTTTGAGCATCCCAAAAATTATTCTGCTTTAACTTGCAGGCTCAATTGAAATGTAGTTTATTTTGTATATAATTGCTGTTGGTCTTTCCTATTAAATTTATTTGCATACTGAATGGTGATTGGTCTGTTTTTTTTTATACATCTAGCTTAGGGATGCACCGATGTATCGGCCACCGATATTTATCGGCCGATTTTCCCTCAATTTACAACCATCAACTATAGAAGGAAAAAGGCCGATGTAATAAACCATCGGTTTGTTACAATTAACTGCGTGTAGGCACTGAGCTGTATAATGTCTGTTGCATAATCCTAGCACTTTAATGCTAATCAAATAACAAAAGACGGCACACTATTCTTGACTACTCAGACAGAGCCATTTGTATGTGGACTGGCCAATGAAACGTCTTCCAGCGAGGACCACTCCCATTCCGCTGACATGTCCATGTTTTTACGGGTTGGAAAATATGTCTTGTTGTCTTATCAACACTGTTATGTTGCAAAAACACACTCGACATTTCATTTAATCTACTGAATCCGCAGAAAAAACGAAACTTGCCTCAGACCAAATATGTGGAGTTGGTGTTAGTAGTGGACAACCTAAGGGTGAGTTTTAGCCATGAGAAGTCTGTGTTTTTGGAATAGTTTTTTTCATTGTGTAGTTCTGAAAGGTGTGTTTATTTGTTTCTCAGTTCGTCTTGAAAAACCATGATTTAACTGCCGTGCGTAATGAGATGGTCCAGTTGGCTAACTTGCTGGATACGGTAAGAATGATAGCTACAGATCAGGTTATTGTTGAGATAAGCCCAACCCTAACCTCAGTCAATAATGTGTTAAGTCTGTTGTAATGTATGTCAGGGTAGTTCTTATCATGACTGATGTTTATAGGGTGATGTAATTACATATTTGAGGCTGTTTTTGTGTTCACCCCAGTACTACAAACAGCTGAATATCCGGATAGCACTGATTGGCGTTAGGATTTTTGACAAGGAAAATCCCTTCAGTGTGGAAGGCAATCCTGGGGAAGTGTTGGGCAGGTTTGTGCAGTGGAGAAAGACAAATCTGTTACCTCAACTTAGGCATGACGTGGGGCAGCTTATTGTGTAAGTACTCCATCACATGTTTTTTGTTGTTGTTGTTAAATGGTTCAATAAAATATTTGTTTACACTTGAGAAATTAATGTTTCCTGAAGCCATTAGTCAACTTAAAAAAATCCCTCTTCAAACTCACACCATTGGTTGGGCCAGTGTGGTCATGTCCAGCCCAGTTATGCTGCTCGTGCTATTTTGTCATTTAGGGCCAGATTTACTTATAGCTGGCACCAGCACAAACCCTCTTTTGGCGTTAAAAAAACTACTGTCAGGATCAGACACACAGTGAAAAATTAGCAACGAAAAGGTGTGGACACCTTTTATTTTTGCACCTGACCTTATTGTATATGTATGCATTTGTAGAAATTTCCCGTTCAGATGCAAAATTTCCCCTTTGTGAATCCCTGATTGTTGTAAACTAACCAATACTTGAGTCCAGCAGCTCAACTTTTGGGCCTGCCTTAATTCTCACACTTGTCTCCTTGGCTACTTGAGAGTATTTATGCGGCAAGAAGTAAGTGTGCAAGACTGTCCCAGGCTTGGAAAATCCCAAGAATATGCATTCATCCCTATTATAAAACACACATGTACGTCCCTACTATAAAACGGTAAATGAAAACCATGTCTGGATTCATAGTATTCATAAAACCGCAGGCAAAAAGTACCCAAATGATCTATTACTTCCAGTGAGGAGGTACTGCATTGTGCATTCAAATGACGCTTACTATCCCATGAGGCCACAGGAGAGCTGGTAGATGATGCTGGTAGATTGCATAACAATGCCAACATGATGAATGTTGTATGTCCGGATTACATTCATACTACACACAATATAATAATCGAACATACATTTTTTTTGCCTTGCAAAGGAAGTACTTAAAGTAGTTATTTCAGTTAGTGCCCAAGTAGTTGAAGCTCCTACTCCAAGAATGTGATTTTGGATGCAAATTCTAGAACCATTTAGGGGAATGTTCTTTTTTAGATGAATATAAAATTAATATAAACTCTTAAGGGCCGCTTACACCAAAGACACTTACTATGACGATAGCTATATTAGCGTCCACACCAACAATGATAACATTGTTTATTATAAGTGTGTGTTGCAGTTAAGTCATTTGCCACTTTAAATGCACAAGCTCTTTAAAGTCAGGTGCATTCTGATTGGCTGTCAATGTTTTATTGTTCAAAAAATGTTCTGAAAATATTCCAAAGTGCCATTATTGTTATAGTTTTGGGTGCTGTTCCTTTAAAATTAGAATGATTTTCTTTATCTTTTTCTTATCGGGGAAGTTGTGGTCTAATGGTTAGAGAGTCGGACTCGTAACCCAAAGTTTGTGGGTTCGAGTCTTGTACCGGCAGGGATTGTAGGTGGGGGGAGTGAATGCACAGCGCTCTCTCCCACCAGAGTATATATATACCATATATATAATACCACGACTGAGGTGCCCTTGAGCAAGGCACCGAACCCCCAACTGCTCCCTGGGCGCCGCAGCATAAATGGCTGCCCACTGCTCCGGGTGTGTGTTCACTGCTGTGTGTGTGCACTAAGGCTGGGTTAAATGCAGAGCACTAATTCCTAGTATGGGTAACCATACTTGGCCACATGTCACGTCACTTTATCCCCAGATATTTAGATCTTTAATAAGAGTAGCAAAGTTACAGTATTTTTTATTGTTTTTTGGGTCTTGGGGTCTCTCAGATATTAGGTTGTAACTTGGTGTGCCATTGTACACTGTGTTTCAGGGGGATCATTCTCATTGATAATAATAGCTATGGGCTGGAACCCATCTTGCACTCCAAAGCCAATGAGCACCTCCTCTTCCTGTTGAAGGACAGTCAGACAGAGCCATTTGTATGTGGACTGGCCAATGAAACGTCTTCCAGCGAGGACCACTCCCATTCCGCTGACATGTCCATGTTTTTACGGGTTGGAAAATATGTCTTGTTGTCTTATCAACACTGTTATGTTGCAAAAACACACTCGACATTTCATTTAATCTACTGAATCCGCAGAAAAAACGAAACTTGCCTCAGACCAAATATGTGGAGTTGGTGTTAGTAGTGGACAACCTAAGGGTGAGTTTTAGCCATGAGAAGTCTGTGTTTTTGGAATAGTTTTTTTCATTGTGTAGTTCTGAAAGGTGTGTTTATTTGTTTCTCAGTTCGTCTTGAAAAACCATGATTTAACTGCCGTGCGTAATGAGATGGTCCAGTTGGCTAACTTGCTGGATACGGTAAGAATGATAGCTACAGATCAGGTTATTGTTGAGATAAGCCCAACCCTAACCTCAGTCAATAATGTGTTAAGTCTGTTGTAATGTATGTCAGGGTAGTTCTTATCATGACTGATGTTTATAGGGTGATGTAATTACATATTTGAGGCTGTTTTTGTGTTCACCCCAGTACTACAAACAGCTG